GAATTCTTGACACCACTGAAAATCTGACAGTTTTTAGCTTAATCACTGGCCAAGAGAAGTGCAGCTTTATTTTAGTAAAAAAATCTGCCAAAGTGCCCACGTACATTACCTCCGACTGTTTCGTGCACTAGAGCACCCCAGACTTCATGGCAAGGTCTAGATTTTTGGCTTACAAGCAAAGGTATACGGTTTAATCACCGAATTGACCTTGCAGAATATTTCATTCCACCTCACTGGGAGGAGTTTAAACGTGGTCAGCTAATGAAAGAGGAAGAAAGCCTCAACACGTGTTGATGACAACCAATATACACATACCAGGAAATGAAAGTTAACCCTCTGGAGCACTTGTCAATAACTAATACTTGTTTTATTCTTTTGAATAAGATTGTACAAATCCTAAAAACCTGTTTTGATATTTTGGCAAAAAAAAAAAAAGTAAAATGTTTAGTAGCTGTTTGGTACTGCACCCTAAGTTTAAATCCATTTCATAGATCTCAAGCTCAAATGTCAACCAACTTTGATCATTATTAAAAACAACTTTAGAAAAACATCTAATAAGACTGAATGTGTTTGATATCAGTTCTTTAACTTGAGCAATCTGCCATAAATATATATATAATTTAAGATTGTTCTTTGCACATGTAGTTAGCAAAAGACAAATAATTTGCTTCTATAAATCTAAAAAGTCGAACTAAAACTTAAGACTAGAGAAAGCAGCACCAGAGGATTAAACATTTCAAAATCCTGTTCTATTTGAGTTTTAAACCTGTGCTTCCTAAATCTTACCGGATGTGCCTCTGACGAATGAGCACACGTGCATGGTGGATACTCTTGGCCAGCCCAAGCTTGAAGACTTGAGTCTGCAACCTCCTCTCCAAGAAATCCTCCACTTTCAGGCCCAGAATGTAATCGAGCTTCATCTTTCCCTCATCCAGCACTCCAATACGCACCAGACGCCTGAGCAGAGCATTACCTTAAAAATAATAATCACAAAATATTGTTATGTTAAACAAGTGTGATAAAGAACCAGTAAGGATGTATTGGCAGATATGGCCTCATTGACGAGGAATTCTTGGCAACACTGACAATCTGACAAGCATTATTTTAATCATTGGCCACCCAGTCTTGAACGACAGTCACAGTTCAGTTACCTTCAAAGAGACGCTTAGGATCCTTCTCATCCAGAGTGAGCAGCTCTCTGGCAGCCTTGCGGATTTTGGCCAGAGTGAACTTCACCCTCCAGACTTCTCTCTTATTCCTGAGACCATACTCACCTGTGGCAGGTAAAATTGTAAGACAATTGTAAGAAACACGTTTTTTTTTGTAAGAAACACGTTTTTGGGGAAAAAAACATTAATAATCATTTTATTTTCAACTTTGCGCTCACCAATGAGTCTTAACTCCTGGTCAAGACGTGACTTCTCAAAAGGACGTCTTGGGGTGACGTACGTCTTACTGCAAACCCAAGTCTTGGCAACCGGCATGGCGACTTATTGACGCCTGAACAAAAAAAGGTAAAGAAAAACTTTGAAGTTGCTAAAAGGTACTCAAATTTGCAAAGGATATACAAACGCCATTGTGCTAAATAATAGGTGTTGCAATGTAAGTGAAACGTCACTTAGACTTATAATTAATTTAGCGTATAATTTATATATGTATAATATATATATATATGTATAATATATATATATATATATATATATATATATATATATATATATATATATATATATATATAATTAACGTGTGCTTGATTAGAGGTAAATTTTAATTTAAGTTAAAAAGCATTAAAGCTAACGTGGAACGAAAACCCGGTTTAGCTTTGACATCAAACACTGAAAAGCGCTTCCTTCTCAACAGAACATAGTATAATGGCACATTCGTCCTCACGTTATAAATTTTGATTTCTTCATATAAATATATATATTAGCAATCCCGGCGAGTCATTTATATGTAGAGGTAGCACGCGGTTTCACCTCAGGCTAACATTGCTGCTAGGCCTGAACGCGCCTTGTGGAAACACGTTAACTGCAATAAAGCTCTTTTCTCGGCATTATGTACTCAACTAGTTAAGAAATTAATACGTACATCTGTTACCTTACGTAAGGGAACATTAAATATTACTTAATCGTACATATTACGCATGCGTAAAGTAGAAATTTATAGCTGAAAAGGGACATTAAAGCCGCCATTACCTGTCCGTGTCAGGCTCGAACACTAAAGAGAGCGTGCATCCGGCCTTCCCGGAAACTTATACCCACCATTTAAACTACAGAACCCACAAAGCTTTGCGTGTGCATTCGGTAGTGTGTTCAGGGAAAGCTTCATGAGGGATTTGCTTCCCTCTGTTGGTCACTTACAATAAGATGATGTAGAATATATGCGTAGGGTTTAAAACACATATATATTCAGAACTGGGCGAAGGTGAGACAAGTATTTTATTGAATATCTGTGTTTACTATTCAAGTGAATCTGTAAATGTCATATTTACCAGGATAAAATGGCCGAACGAAGTCATATTTACAAGTCAACTTTAGGATTGTTGTCAAGAAGTTTTGACGTTGCTGAATGATTTAGTTACAGTCTGTTGATTTATTTAAGATTTACTAATGTAAAAGTTTATTTGCCATTCTGTAATGCGGTTTGTCTGCCAGGAGGAATGAATTTGTTCAATAATATTAATTTACACTACAGTAGATATTTATGTGTTTCTAACATTACGTTTTTAAAGATCGTAATTTAATTAAATTTAAAATAACTTCATTAATTATATATTGTTTGAGGCTTAAGTGAGTGTTTGGCTTAAACAAGAACAAATATAGGTCAATAAAGTGTATGAAAATTCTTTTTCAGTTCAAATAAAGTTGGTTTATAAAGTTGTCTAGAGACCCACTGGCGTATTTGTTCTTGTTTTAATAATAAACTTGCTTTATTTTGATCAGTTTGACTGAAAACAAGACAGACCTCCAGTTTTACTGATTAAATTAACTTAAAAAATAACTCGCAGTGACATCTTAAAATATGTCAGTGTCATTGATTAATGATGGACACCAGTAATTTGCTCTGTTCTTCTGAGTCATTTTTTAATAAAAGCTGCTTAAAAAATAATTTAACTATAAGGCCTAGTCCTGGTCTAAGCTTAGCCCCAGTGAAACCTGGCCTTGTTGTAATGTGTAATTAACACATTTTCTTTAGAAAAAAAAAAACTAAAATACTGATAAAAATTTCACTTTTTTTACAATTTGATCCTAATTTGAAGTAAAAGATTATCCATTTTATAGTCTTTGAAATCTTAAAGGGCACCTATTTTACCCCTTGTTCAAGTCTTTTGTGTCTCCAGAATGTGTCTGTAAAGTTTCAGCTCAAAACTTATCAGATTATTTATTATACCTTTCAGAACATTGGGATTTTCTGCTCTGAACACAATGCTGTTTTTGTGGCCTGTGTCTTAAATACTGGTTCTCCTCACCCACCGTTCCCACGTGCCTGTCAGAGTGTGCTTCAATCTTCACCTCGGCTGAGTCAGGTAAACAGCACAGTGACAGACAAGAAGGAAGCAGATTTCACGTTACATTTTTGAGAAATACTACAGTAAGAACTTTACCATGATTATTTTTATTATTTGATGTGCTTGTTGTGGAGTTGCAACGATGAGTTATACACAATGTCGTTACCAGGCCCGTGCAGAGACCTTCAAAGGGGCATTTGCAGGATAAAATTTATTTAAAAAGGGCATGTGCACTGCACAGGTTGAGCCCATGTGTGCACGTGCCTGGTGTTACAAAGTTCATGTACGAACGCACACACAGTGCGTTTAGTTTTGCACTGTTTTTGCACACAAATGTGACAGAATACATGTTAATATCCACTGCTGTATGGATATCCATTATGTCAATGTATAAAATAAACTTGATTTAACCGGGATTGAAGCGATTTCTTTTATAATTAAAATGAGGCTGTGGTGACAAAGACAGTAAAATCGCTGTAATTACAAACATGCACTGATTTAAAAAGGTTTTAAACTCATTCTTGATCATATTTGATGATGATTGATGATCACAGAGGGTTGAACAGATCTTTTAATCCCAGTTGCTTTGTGCACATCCTGTCTTGTTGGCATGATTATTTATACGCGGTACTATTGAGACAGGTTAATACGCGACTGTCAATCAATTCGGTGGGAGGGGAAACCGCACTTCTATGTCACGTTGTGGTGGACCTTAAAATGGGAGGGATTTGAATCTTATTTTAAGGTAAGGAAATTTAAAAAAGGAGACTTACTGTCTTTAAATCACCCTAATATGACTGTGGACACACTACACTTACGCACACTTTTGTCCAAACAGCTTACAAAAAATGATTTTTATCATAGATGCCCTTTAAAGTATTAAAGATTGTAAAAAAGTTGTATTGTTCAACTTTGTAGTCAAAACAGTCCAGTCCATATAGTACCTGCATATGTTTTGTTCTTTTGATATAGCAAACTTTCTTTGTGTCTTTTTCAATGAGCAACGAAGGGTGACAAATACATTACTTGCCTGTTTATTTCTATTGCTGATACACAACTAAAGGAGGAAGGGGGGCTATTTATAAAGGAGTGTAACACAACTCTGAGCATGTGTTTCTGTCTATCAAACATCTCCAGCAACACACACACACACACACACTGTGTCCCCTGGAGATCTTTCGGCACTGAACTCCTCTGCCATTTGTGAGACAGACTAACTCGGCACTCTCAACTTTATAGAGCTTCTTATATTTGCAGTTTTTTTATTCATATTCGTTTATTGCCTAAAAGTTGACACCAGTGTTGTGCAGTTCAACTCACACTTCTTCTCCTTTTCTTTTTCACACCTCTGGATCTTTTTTCCTTTTCTATTTGGATCTTAAACTTTCTCAGTCTGGTTCTTTCTTGATTCCGAGAGCTCTCCTTCCCCTCTCTCTTCCCCTTGGTCTCCCGTCCCTTTTAGCTGTTCCTTTTTTCTGTCCTTTTCTCTGGCTATGCACCATGTTGTCTTCTCCTACTGTGATCCTTCAGCCCTACGGACTCCCAGTTTACCCTCAGACGGCCTCCTGCTACCCCGGCATTGTTCAGGTAAATATACAAATCTACCTTTATATGTATCTACTTTATTATTAGTTTTATTTTATTAACATTTTTTACCATTTTTATTTTACAATTTTAATTAGTATATTATTTATTTAATAAAATTATTAAGAGCAATTTAAAAACATTTATCATACGCATTTTCTGTCACATGTCTGGTAAAATGTTAAACAAATCAACCAATCACTGGCCAGCAAACGGTTTGTATATCAAGTAAAGCAAGATCCACCAATGTGGCATGAAATGTGTTTGTCAGTGAAGGACGCTGCGGTTAGTTATATTTGTCCCTGCTAGGTGGCCTACTGAAAACAGGTTCAGTGCATACTTGTGTTTGTGCGTGTGTGCGTGTGTGTGTGTGTGTGTGTGTGTGTGTGTGTGTGTGTGTGTGTGTGTGTGTGGTATGTTTGTGTGTGTGTGTGAGAGAGAGAGAGAGAAATTCCAGTCTTCCTGATAAACGGTGTGCCTGCTCTTTCTCTCTGTCACACTCTATATTTTTAGTCGGTTTCTCTCACTGCAGATTTCCTCACACACACAGATTACACATTTAGAAATAGATGTTGACTGTCTGATTGCCTCTTGACTTTATCAAAAGTGATACACAGCAGCAGATTATGTCATCTAAAGAGTAGGACTTAACACAGAGGAATTTTCTTAGTTGTTTCCGCTTACTTTGTTGGCTATAATATCCACGTGTCGTATTGAACATATGAGTGAATGCTTTTGATTTTGATTTGTCCACATAATGGCTTTTTTAGAAAGGATTTTTTTACCCTGACAGCCAAAATCATTGTTTGTTGTCTCTAAAGGTATTAAGTTGATGGTTTTTGAGAGTACTTTGGCTTTACTAAATACATTTTTGTGTAATTTTGTTTACTGAAGAAAAAACAATTATGTTGCACAATACACACTCAGAATTATGAAATAATCCCTAAAATAGACCATGATATAAACCAGATTGTGTGACCTTACAATAAATATTTAACCAATATTAAATGGCTAACAAAAAATAAATATAATCCACATGCATAGTGAAATAATGTCGTGTCACTTGATTGTTTTGTATCTGTTAACCTAAAATATGTTTGTTAATTTAAACAAAACTGAAATATTATTAAAAGAAAGACTTAAAATGGAAAACAAACTTGAATTATTATTTTTGATCAATTGGCATGACAGAAATGGCCTGATAAGGATGATTTATAATCGATGATTAATTTATAAATTAAGCTAAAACAATGAGCTGCAAGTCTGTTGATAGTTTCAGAATATTTCTCTGGGTAAAATTAATTTAATAGGCCTTAAAGCAAAATTAAACCTGTACAAAATCTAAAGTGTAAGACAGAGACACTTTGTACCTCTGATGTTGGCCCCTTAAATGATAAATGGTTCCAATCCCTGTTCATTGAAAACAGAGTGACATAACAATAGTACTTTATATGAGTAATAGTACTTTATACGAGTATAAATACTTGAACTGGCCAATAATTTGTAAAAAATAAGTATTGGTATTGGCTTGTCCCCATAAATGTTACAACACCATGTTCATTCATTCATTTTACTTCAGCTATGTACCTTAACCGACAACTTATCCAGCATATGTTTTACACAGCGGATGCCCTTTCCAGCTTCATGCACTCACTCATACACTGCAGCCAATTTAGTTCCTCCAATTTACCTATAGTGCATGTCTTTGGACTGTAGGGGAAACCGGAGCACCCAGAAGAAACGAACGCCAACAGGGGGAGAACATGCAAACTCCTCATAGAATTACTAACTGGTTCAGCCAGGACTCAAACCAGCAACCTTTTTGCTGTGATGTGACAGAGCTAACCACTGAGTCACTGTGCCACCCAACACCATGTTAATAAAACAAAATTACACTGATTTCAATAAAAATATGCTGATGAAAATGTAAGAAACTGGTTGCCAGGCAGATGGTTTAGCAGTCATTATGTAAAGACATCTGATAACAGAACACCGCAACTGGCTAATCAGAATCAAGTATTCCAAGAGCTTTGTATTACATGACTATAGACAACATAAGCAGTTCTTGTCAGCAGTGTGTGTGTGTGTGTGTGTGTGTGTGTGTGTGTGTGTGTGTGTGTGTGTGTGTGTGTGTGTGTGTCTGAATGATCCCGCAGCTGTCAGATCAGGCACCTGGCATCCTGCCTCTGATCTTTCACCCCAAACCTGACAGCTGAAGGGCTCAAAGCTGTCACTGCGCTTGGAAAGACATTTTATCTGCTAGACAGAGGTGTTATTTTAATACTCACACAGTAACGAAAAAAAGTATGGGAAACAAAAGAGTTTATGTTCAGATCTCACAAGATAACTAACAAGTAGGAAGAAAAAAAAGATTTTAGCAACCTACATTTTGTAGTTAAATCATCGAATAAACTTTTCTATCTCAACTTACATCAGTCAAACTACACTGAAAGAAATGACTGAAAGATGATTCCTCGGATTACCTAAATATTCAAAATTTTAGGTTAAGGGGTTGTAAACAATTTATTTGGGCTGAATTCAAACAAACAAATTAAGTTGAATATTACTTAAATTAATTTGTTTGTTTAAATTCATCATATATATTATTTTTAACTATTTTTTTCAGTGTATGTAAGTAAAAATGAGTTAAAGTAACATGAAAGCATTTGTTTACAATACATTTTATCATATATTTTTTTATAACATGTAGTAGAAATTGTTTGAACAATTAAATCGTGCTTGATTGTCCTGTATTTCCTCTCTCTTACCAGAATATAGCCTGGTATTGTATTTAATTCATTCTGCTGCTTAAATATCTATATAAATGTATGCTTTTTGTACTTGTTATTTAAATATTTTAAGGTCTAAAGTCTAAAGGGAACTCATTTAAAACTGTGATCATGTCATTATAACTGTGTTGTCATTTTATAACTGCGATCTTTAACTTGTTCTGTGGCATGCAGCAATGCAACACTTTTTGTGAGTTTGAGTCAGCGGGTTGTAGTGCTACACTTTCACAGGTTTGACAACACCTGTTTACATCTCATAAATCTTTAACCAGGGTGTCATGTCGCACCAAGTGTTTTAAAAAAGGACTGACAGCAAGATATGTCATGTTTTTGTGAATAACAGATAATTGTGTGGCATATATAGTGGTGTGTGTGTATATATATCCTAATGCTGAATCATAGCTATGATGATATGATGACAAACAGACACCATGTAACATAATACTTTTGTTTCTGCTGGAGAAATCTGAGTGCAGTGGTGATATTTAATCAGAGCTGTTTCTCTCAGTGTCGGTTTATCAGCAAAGTCTAAATTTACCCAGACTTATCGGCCCTGTGAACCGGATGATAAGGAGTAAACTGAAAAAGTGTGTGTGTGTGTAAAGAGCTTTTTATCAGTTATTATAACTTTATGTCTATTATTTGGCATATAGAGTCTTATATTTTGCACTTTTGGGTGGTAGACTAAATAATTGATTTTATTTTTACAGTTTCAAACAAGAAACCTAAGGTTTTGTGTGCACAAAACACGTGTCACAAAATAACTCTTTAGCGTAAAACTCCTAGTTTGTATTTGAGTAAGTATATCTTTTCACTGGGCGATGAAGTGGTGCAGTAGGTAGTGCTGTCGCCTCACAGCAAGTAGGTCATTGGTTCGAACCTCGGCTCAGTTGGCGTTTCTGTGTGGAGTTTGCATGTTCTCCCTGCGTTTGCATGGGTTTCCTCCTGGTGCTCCGGTTTCCCCCACAGTCCAAAGACATGTGGTACAGGTGAATTGGGTAGGCTAAATTCTCTGTAGTGTGTGTGTGTGTGTGTGTGTGTGTGTGTGTGTGTGTGTGTGTGTGTGTGTGTGTGTGTGTGTGTGTGTGTGTGTGTGTGTGTGTGTGTGTGTGTGTGTGTGTGTGGATGTTTTACAGAGATGGGTTGCGGCTGGAAGGGCATCCGCTGCGTAAAAGCTTGCAGGATAAGTTGCCGGTTCATTCCACTGTGGCGACCCCGGATTAATAAAGGGACTAAGCCGACAAGAAAATGAATGAATGAATATCTTCACACTCTGTTTGGATAGCATCAAATAAACTATTATTATAATCTGTTATTGTAACAATGCCTGTTTTATCTGGTTTGACACACTGCATACTTCAGTAGCTATAGATATCTTGCTTGTCTGGTTTAAATAAATCACAGTGATTATATTCCATTGTGTGCGATTACTGAGGTTTGCTAGGGTTAGGCTTGACTGAGGAGAAACACTAAGTTGTTTGTATGAATAGATCAACTTTTATCCAAACAGATGTGTGTGTGTTGAGTGTCTAGAGAGTGGGTGGGTGAAATGGGTTGATGATTGACATGAACAAATGAACACGGCTGGTGTAAAAAAAAATCTTGAGGCTGGTTTGCTGCTCTGTGATTGGTGGATGTGAGGAACTTATGGTGGGGTGGGCGGGTGAAAACTCTGCATTAAAGCATGCGTCAGCTGTTGGTGAGTATTGGGTCGCCTGCGGAATGCACTGAAGGGGTGAGACACATCATTTATACTACATTTATACGACTTATTTCATTCACAGTGTCTTTATGTGATGTCTGAGATGCTGGTTTAAGTTAGTGTTTAGTGTTAATGATGTGGGATGTATCTGTTTCTGCAAGCAAAACAGTAACTGTATGTTGCCTTCATTAGGAAAATTATTTGGTAAAATGTTTGGATGAATATTTTTAGCTAAATTAATTTATGGATTTGTTGCAAATGCTTCTTTGGACTACTGTATTAGTATATTTTGAATAGTTATATCTATTTAATAGCTTAAAATTAAATGTATATATGCCATATAGACCATTTTAATGTGGTCATGTCATTGGCCTATGAACATTTTCTGCTTGTTATCAAACTATTTTAACTGTAACAAGAGGTAATTCAATCATAACTTAATCTTAAAACAGCGATCACAACATTATTCATCAATATTTGGCTCTTTATGGATTCTTGGAAGCTATAAAAATTAAAAATGTAAAACTGGAAAAATGTTGGGACCATTGTTTTTTGTTTACATCCCTCAAAATAATCTATAGAGCTATTTACAGTTGAGGGCAAAATTATTATGCCTTCAGTGCGATAATTATTCTTTTTCAAATACACTGTATAAAAATCCTTGTTGCCCTAAATTTTAAGCTGAAACAAATTAACCTTACGTGTCCATTAAACTTTTATTATGTTAAACTGACCTAAAACAGTGTGTGCAACCTATAAGATTAAGTTAGAACATGATTAACTTAGTTTAATATGCTCCAACGAACTAAAAACATATGCTGTCATGGCTAATTGATCATTTATTTTTTTAAAGTGTATTTCTCAAGTGATATTTACTGAATTAAGGGTATTTTCACAGTACTTTCTATAATATTTTTTCTTAAAGTCTTTTTTTTTTTCAGCTTGAATAAATATTTTTTTTTAATTTCAAACAATTTTGAGGTCAATATTATTAGCCCTTAGGAAATATATTTTTGATTGTCTAGAACAGGGGTGGGCAAACTCGGTCCTGGAGGGCCGGTGTCCTGCACAGTTTAGCTCCAATCCTAATCAAACACACCTGCCTATAGATTTTTAGTGATCTTAAAGACACTAATTAGCATGTTTAGGTGTGTTTGATTAGGGTTGGAGCTAAACTTTGCAGGACACCGGCCCTCCAGGGTCGAGTTTGCCCACCCTTGGTCTAGAACAAACCACTTTTATACAATGACTTGCATAATTACCATAACATACCTAGTTAACTTATTTAAACTGGTTAAACATTTGGATTGCACATTAAGCTGAATACTAATGTCTTGCAAAATATCTAGTAAAATATTCTGTACTGTCATCATGGCAAAGACAAAAGAGATCAGTTATTAAAAATCTGTTATCAAAACTATTAAGAATTAGAATGTGAGTAAACGTGTTGAAAATCATCTTTCCATTAAACAGACAATTGAAAAAACATAAAATACTTCAAATTTAACTGTAGGGCTAATAATTCTGGCTTTGTTTGTATATAAAGCATAAAAGGTGCCTTTGAATCCTTTTAATACAATATGTTAAAATGTCCTTTGATATTTAAATAGTAGTTTTAATTGGCAAAATAATCTACAGTTATTTAACAGACTTGTCTAATTATTCTCTAATTTTGACATATCTAATATTTCTCTTATTATTATATAATAAATGTTTTCATAACCAGTCAACAGATTTTTCTGTTTGTAAATGCTTCTCTCTCTCTTATTATAGGGTGCTGCTGCCCAGGAGGCGGGGCCAGGCAATGGTGATCCTTCACTTCCCCAGGTTTATGCCCCACCCCCTTCATATCCTCCACCTGGACAAGCCCCGCCCACACCTGCTGCCCGACTGCCACCCCTCGATTTCAGCGCTGCTCATCCAAATTCAGAATATGCAGATCATCATCAGCTGAGAGTCTACCAGGGCCCTCAGCACGACGGGACGGAGTCTATAACTGCCAGTAACACGGTAAGACTGATCACCTGATCATTAACTGACTTGATAAGAATAAAATCTTTAGTCAACACTGGGCAGGTACATCTATAAATATAAAGAAATAATTTGATTTTAGAAGTAAAAAAAACTGAATAATATGATTTACTTGCAGTCAAGCAGGGTCAATCTAAAAGTATGAAAATTATATAGAAACAATGTTCCTGTATGTAGCAAAATCAGTGTGTATTTGCATCAGAAAAGGTATGCCAGGAATATGTATAGGCAGCTGATATATAATCATGCTCTGGTCCTCTGGGATCTCCTGTTTGAGCTAAAAATATCTCTTATGCCCTTTGCACATCCTTCCTTTGCCTTGTCCATGTATGGACATTCAGCTGAATAGACAGTATAGGAGACTTATGATGAAAGAAGGCCTTCTTCCATTTCCACTTTCTGCTTCTCTTTTTAATGAGTGAGTTGTCTTAAATGTTTATGATAATAAAGCTTAGTTTCAGTGGCAAATTTGAATTTTATAAGGGAGCTTATCAAGTCAACACTACATTTACTCTTAATGTCATTTAAAGTATTTTATTCTTATTTTATAATTAATGTAGTGCAGGAGTTTTAAAACAGGGGTCAAAAGGGTCAAAATCTCCAAGGACCACACGGTGGTGCTTGTGTCTGCAGAATATTGAAGACAAAGAGGAAGCCTTGTAGTATCAATGTCTATATATAGTACGCTAAAATATTTAATTGCATTCTAGTTCAGTTTTAGTTTAGTTTAATATTAAGAAATATTTATATTAGATTATTATTATTATTATGTTTATTATATTATAGTTTATTAATATCATTTAAGCTATTTAGGTTTTATGTTAATGTACCTATAAATAAGGTAAAACTGAGTTGAGCATATGTTTTTTTTATTATTATACTTTGACTTTTAATATTGGGGTTTTAATGATCAACGCAGATAGACATGTGTACTAAAGTGTTTTTAAGGCGATAGTTCCCAAAAACTATCCCTTTATCCAATAATTTACTCACCTATTTACTTGTTCCAAACCTCTTTGATTTCCTTTCTTCTGTTGAATACTTTTGTTGATGTTTTGAAGAATGCTGGAGACCTGTGACTTTCATAGTATTTGTTTTTCCTATGGAAGTCAATGGTTGTAATTAATTTTCTTCACAATATCTTTGAAAGTGTTCAACGGAGGAAAGAAACATATAAACCACTTGAGAGTGAGTAATGGTTTATTTTTATTTTTGGTTGAACTATCCCTTGAGGGCACAAGCATTGAGATGTAACTCAAAAGTAAATATGTCCAGTCTGTGAGTTGCTTAAATATTATCTCTTTAACCTGAGCCATAGGTCGATGCTCTTTAAAGTATGTCACTATGGAAATGTATGATTGTCATTGTAATGTTTGTGGGGCATTGCTAATCATGTCTCACTGGGAGTAGTAATTGCAGATGACCATTTTAAATGACAACAAATGTTTATGCTCCCGCACTAAGCACAGTTTGGCAAGAATATAGTGCTATTTTCACCATGAAAGTATGTATTCTCTAAAATAGGTTCATGAAATGAGTTGTGTCTTTCTCTATCACACCATCTTCTGTCCACACTGCTTATATCACTAGAGAACGCCAGATTTTGGGACAATGCGCCGCCGCCGTGGAGGGAGGGGTCAAGGGGGGCGGTCAGACGGGATGATGACCCCTCCCCCCCATCTATGTTTTCCAGGTCCAGTCAGAAACGCACTCTGCATCGTGACGTGAATTCATCACATACCTTCCCATCACACCCTCTCTCAATCTGCCACTTTTCCCCAAATCCCTCCCTGGCCTGTGTCTCTGGATGAATGTGATGATGATGATGATAATTCAGCAGTATTTCCTGTGTGACACGTGCTGTTGTAGTCTTTACAGCTAGCAATCAGCCCGGCCGGCTCAGAGTGAACCATAACCACGATATGTCTGCGTGTGTGGATGGGTGTGTGCGCGTGTGTGTGTCTGTGCGTAAATCTTTATGCGTGTTTCTGTTTTTTTAACTTCTTTTTTTCAATTAATACACTGCTCTGTTTTGTTTCCAAAAATAACAGTAAATTGGTAAGTCATAGGATGAATTGCGTAGGCCGCTTCATTTCCCCATTTTTCGAGACACTTTCATTTCCTTTTTTTTGGGTAGGGTTCACTTGGTTTAATGTGCAAAACCTTCCTTAAATACTTGCCTTCGTTGAGTGCCTAGTTGGTTTTTATAACATTGTTTTATAACATTGATTTTTATAACATTGTCTGAATGCTAAAGAAAGGATTGTTTGTACAGATTAAACTGGAAAATTTATTTTAATGAGAAAAATAGCTATCAAGGAATTCTGCTTTTTGATAAATACACTGAACAGATAAATGAAATTACACTTTTATGGATACATTGATATTGAAATGGAAATGTTGATATGGAAGTAAGCAATAAACATCATTGCTAATTAGCAATAAATGCACCTAAAAATGTACATTATGAGGAAAAATGTAAACGTTACATATAATAAAAATATTGTACAGAATATCGTTATGATAAACTGATCTTCAACTCTGAAAAGTGGACTGATACAGTTTCAATTTACTAGAACTTTTATGTTAAGCTGCTTTGACACAATCTACATTGTAAAAGTGCTATAGAAAGGAACATAAATTGAATTGATAGATGCATTGGTGTGGGAATATTGGCTGTTACTGATAACTAGGGCCAGACAGAATCTGCTGACATTTTTCGCTATTTCTGCGCAGAATATTGTAAAAAATCTGTGGATTTATGTGGGATGATTTTGGGTGTATCAAAACTAAAAACTTAATTTGTTAAATAAAAAAATTATATATATATATATATATATATATATATATATATATATATATATATAAACTTTTATTTAATGTTTACAATCCTAATAGATCCATTTATTTATTTGATAAACAAAGCAAGTGTATAATATAACATAGCTACCATATATCTACTAAAAGACAGACATTTTCACAAAATACTTTACAAACTGTATTGTAAGTAAATCATATGAGCATTTTTATATTAGTCAATAATATTGCTGAAATTAATTTAAAAACTGAATAAATATAAATTTACGCACATTTACAAACAACTGGATAAGTAGACTTAATGATGGGCTGAAAGTCTGTGGATTTCTGCGCTTGCAGATTCTGTGTGGGCCTACTTATAACCAATGTCCAACTTATATTTGTAAATTGATAACTATAAATCCGCCTAAATATATAAAAGCCTGATAACAAAAACAAAAGGCAAACAAATACAGTGGGCACCTTTAAGTAGAAACTTTGGAAGGAAACATAATAAACCGAATGCACCCCCTATTTTCTGTCCATATTGGAGCTATTGTTCTTACTGTATGAACTTCACTGTATACAGTGTGCTGTTATAGCAGTCGGATAAGTTGAAGCAGACGTCATTTTTGTCTTTCTACTTCCACTTTCCAAATTTATATAAATAAAAAAACTGGCTCTTACAAACGAACTCATTAATAGCCATTCTTTTCATTTGCTTAACATTTTTCCATTGCTTTGAGATTCACATCACATGACTCGTTGTGCCTTCACATTTCCTTTTTTAACCAAAATTTCTTTTGACTTTATTTCACCAATTTCTTTTTTCTTTGTTTTTTTTTAAATGTCTCGCTATGCTCGGCTACTGTTCTTCTAGCAATGGGCTTTTTCTTTTTAAAACATTTAATACACTTTTTTGACTTCTTAATCCATTTTAATGGTAACCGTTTTGTGCCTTTTGATGAGGTAGGCTGTGCAGACATACGAACTGGCATCGTGATGCATTGTGAAATAGTGGATGTGTTGGGTTTGAAGCACAAACACTCCTATGTATTGATCTGCATGGGGGCATTTCATTGACACAATAGGTGCAATAGGAAATATTCTGTAACCATGCATTCTATATGACATAATTTCAGGTCATAGTCATAAGGTTACATTGTAAATATATTAGCAATCTGACTCAAGTTACAGATTGGATTGAGTTTACTGAAGTTAAACTATGACTAGTCTACTTTCAATGCAAATTGTGATTTTTATGTCCATCTCTAACAGGCATGTACTTAGTCGGCTCACTAAAATGGGAACTTGATCACATTTCCTCACTTTTGCTTGAGAGGAATCACTGGATGAGGAATGCTCCTTTTGCGTTTTGTTGTGGTCACTTTATAAAACCAGTTTTCTCCCAATAAAATGTTAGACTGCAGTAAGCTTGACCAGAAATCTTACAATAGCATTTCTTTTTGTCATGACATGCATACTAATGTTTGTTCTGTGCTCCACACTTTCATCCCTATCTCCCTCATAGGATGATTCTCTGGCACCCGTGACGTCTGACCCACAGTCTCTCAGTGTTTCTGTGGCCTCCGGTAGTGGAGCTGCAGGAGGAAGTGACGAGGAAGGAGGCGGGAAGGCTCAACCTAAAAGGCTCCATGTTTCCAATATCCCTTTTAGGTTTCGAGACCCAGACTTGAGGCAGATGTTTGGGGTAAAACAAATGCAATACTTTTCTGTCATTATAAAAGATCACCCAAAATATGAACATTGAACAATATTTACTCCTCACATCCTTCCAAACCTGAAATGTTTCACTCAATGCAGTCCAAAACAGCATTGGAGCCTTTAAAGGTCCCATGAAGTGCTTTGAAATGTGCATTTTCTATTCGATGTGTGACGTAATCTCAACTGAAACATGAAGAGAGGGTGGGACATAGATTAGCTCCTCCTCTTTAAAATAACACCATATACACGTACACTATATATGTATATACACTTACACTACAGTGGTTTGGTTTCTCTCTGCTCTGCCAGTGAGAGTGGTTGAGCTCAAGTGCATGAAAAGCAAATGCGAAGCGTCTTAAATGGGCGGGGCATGTCAGATACTACAGAGCATTTGATTGGTCAAGATTTGAAAAAAAAACTTCAGGATAGGCTGACGTGCTAAAAAATTGTTTATTCATTCAAGCGGAAGTGATAAACTGCAAGCTTTGGATGTTTATATCAGGTTATATTTATATAGGTTTGTCACTGTTTTGGAGCACATAGACATACTTAAAACTAAAAAGTTTTATTTAAATTTCATGGGACCTTTAATTTTTGAGTATCATCTTCTGAAGTTTTTCAAAAGAATGAAAGTTGTATAGGTTTAAAATGAGAGAGAGTAAATCTCCCAATGCTCGTTTTTGGGTGATTAATCCTTTCAAATATGTGTATAACTGGTTAGTCATGATCTTTTTTTTTTTTTTTTTTTGTTATTTCAGCAATTTGGCAAGATTCTAGATGTAGAGATCATCTTTAATGAGAGAGGATCCAAGGTTTGTAAATTTCCATTCAAATTTGTCTAGTGATTTTAGCCAAAGCAACCTGCAAATGACGGGAACTGAAAATGTTTCCGTGTGAAGTACTACAAAAAAAGATTATATTATAATTAGATTGTTGTTATAATTATAATCTTATAATATATATATATATATATATATATAGATAGATAGATAGATATAGATATATAGATATATAGATATATATATATATACAGGATTTAGAGCCCTCCTTTATTTTCATACCATTGATACCCTGTAGATGTCAGACAACAACAAAATATAGTTCTGGCTAAAGTCTTAAAAACCCTATAATGAGGAGATTAAATTTAAACTTCAACTTATACCAAATATACATTTCAAAATGTAGGCTATTTAAGGATCAAGATAATAAACTTCATTTGTTTGGTAAATAAAGCAGGTCACTTATATAGGCCTAATATATATATATATATAAAATATTTAAGAGAATAGATAATAAAAGCCTTGTATTAGAAAGTCAGAACAATTCCTTATCTTTTGTGAATCAAGGAAGGCAACAAATTCAGTTTTATTGTCAAGGGAAATGTTGTGTCAAGGGAGTCGACAATTACAATCCAGAATTATGTATGAACAAATTGTTCAGCTGACTCGCCTGTGTGTTTCAAAACAAATATTCTTAATATAAAATACAGAGAAAATAAAAAGGAAAGAGAGAACATAACAAAAAAGGTGGAAGATAAAAACAGTAAAAAATCTAAATAATAATAATTATTATTAATAGTTAATTATTATTTATAGCTATCATTAGTACAGTGTAATGGTGACTGTTTCATAGTTACATTAAAGTTACAAAAATCTGTTTTAATATTGTTGATACTCATAGTGTAAAATATTCTTCTTAGCCCTTTATTATAATAGTGTTCTCCAACACCAAGTTCCTGATTCACAATGGAACTTTTGTGAAAAATCTAATAGCATTTTTCCAGGCAAATATTGCTGTGGTATATATAAACCTATATATAATCTGGGATAATGACTAAATACCCAGCTGAAACTTAGACAACAGAAGCAACCAAAATCAACAAAAGACCAATGCTCCCAATTCAATTCAATTCAATTCAATCAATTTGCAATTTGCATAGAGATTTTCACTTTATTTGAGTTTCAGTTGAGTTGCGTTTGATATCAATCTTTCAGGGTTTTGGATTTGTGACGTTTGAGAGTGCAGTGGAAGCAGATCGAGCCAGAGAGAAGCTCAACGGTACGATCGTGGAGGGAAGGAAGATTGAGGTATGACAATGATAAGTTGCTAATTTAGCAAGAAAATACAAATAAACAACTAAATAACTTTGCTTCCTCAGGTGAACAACGCTACAGCAAGGGTGGTAACAAAAAAGCCCCAGACGCCATTAGTTAATGGTGAGGCTCCTTTGTAATGTTCTAGCCAAAATGTTAGTGGCCATTCGCAGAGAACATGTTTTTGCAGTTCACTTGGCTGTTTATCAATGATTTGCTATGCAAATATGCACTAGCAGCAAGGCTGGATTTAGTTCTTCTTCCAACCACCAAGGTGCTTTTAGGCAGATGAAAACCCCACTGAAAAATAGCTAGGAAAAAAGCCATAGCTGTGAGGTGTTTAGAGTTCTTCTTTGTCACTGGGATTTACACTAGGTTTTGACTGTTCAGATGCTTTATTTATTTGTCTGAAACATGCTCTTGCATTCAAGACTAAACATATTGTAAGCAAGCCTCAGTTGTTGATTGTGAAACATTGTTTTAGAACATAGAGGGTCTCATTCTGAAACTGTCAGTTAAACTGCTGCAAAAACAATGATGCTCTGAAGGTTCTGAAACCAGTTTATTAATAAAGTCACGTGGAGGTGCTGACTTGTTTCCTGTGAGAGCTCTGCATTTATGCTTTATGCACAGGAGGAAGACAAAGTCTTGAAAAAAACATGGAAATAGTATGTTCACTGCTATAATCGTTTTCTCATTTGATCCTATTGTTTGTATTATTCATTTCCTTAGGGTGTTTTTTTCCTTTGAACAGAACATCTATTAAAATATAAAGATATATGACAATGTGAAAATAAACGATCAATATTATTAGAAAAAAAAGTTTCTTCCACAGTCCAAAGACATGCGCTTTAAGTTAATTGATTAAACTAAATTGGCCGTAGTGTAAATGTGTGTGTGTGTGTGTGTGTGTGTGTGTGTGTGTGTGTGTGTGTGTGTGTGTGTGCATGTGCGTGTGTGTGTGTGTGAATGAGAGTAAGTATGAGTGTTTCCCAGAACTTGGTTGTGGCTGGATGGAGCATCCGCTGTGTAAAACATATGTTGGAATAGTTGGCGGTTCATTCCGATGTGGCGACTCCTGATAAATAAGAGACTAAACCAAAGGAAAATAAATGAATGAATGAAAAAGTATCCTCAATATTGTATTTTAACACTTGCTTAGAAGGCCTGTGCTTAAGTTTTGACTGTTGCACATTGTTTTTTCATGCATGCCACAGCACAGCGCTCTAAAAATCATCATTGTTCTTGCATTTTAATTTTTTTAACAGTTCCTTAAAATGTTCTCTGTGAATGGCTCCTTTATACGTTTTTAATTTGAAAATAAATGTTTTTAAAAAATTCAGTTCCTCACTACAAATATTTCTTATTTGTAGCTGCCGGGTGGAAAATCAATCCAGTAATGGGTGCCATGTACGCCCCTGAACTTTATACAGGTTTGAGATTTAATCCTGGCTTTGATTGTTGTAGTTCAAATAAGAGAGTCATTTGATTTCAGTGCATGCAGTTTGTCGTTTTGCCCACTGTCTTTTTCTCTGGGTCTACTAGTTGCCAGCTTCCCCTATCCCGTTCCCACACCAACCTTGGCCTACAGAGGTTCTGGTCTCCGTGGACGAGGTCGAGCAGTTTACAACACAATCCGCTCCGCAGCCGCCGCTGCCACACCAGCTGCAGTGCCAGCCTACCCAGGGTTAGTCTCTCTCAATGGACAACTAATCACTACAAGTTATTTTAGATAGATGAGTTTTTTTTTTTAATGTAGCTTTAAAATATACCTGCAATTACAAATTACAATTTTTTTGAGGCATTACAAAATACATTACATTTTTTTCTTTCCTCATGCCGTATCGCTCTTAAATAGCTAGCACACCAATTGCTGCTTTTATTCAACGGTGAAAAACACTACTGTTATGGTGATTACAGTTTTTAAGTACAAATATAGACTGTACATGTAAATAAAAAAGAAATATATATGTATACACATACAGTCTATAATATTTGTACATAAAAATTAAGCAATATACATATAAAAAATCTATCTTTTTTATTTCAATGTGTATACACAGAGACAACATAAAAACCACTGCAAATTCCTTATGTGTTTGCACACACTGGGCAAATAAAGCTTATTCTGATTTCGGTTAAATGCTCTTGAACTTGAGTTAAATGTGAATCAGATTTTTTTTATATTTACTTTATGACATTATTTAACATGCATAACATACCTTATCTATCTGTCTTCTGCAGAGTGGTGTATCAGGAAGGACTGTATGGTGCTGAGGTCTATGTAAGTCAACAGTCAACGTTACACATTTACTGGCAAACACTTTCAGAGCTCTCATTTGCATGGAAATTGCTCATAAGTCACAATGTTTGACTTACTGTAATTCACCTTGTGACTGTGTATTCATAATAGTGGTTTGTCTGAACTGGTCACTTTTCAAAAAATGAGAAGCAGAGAATGTGACTAATTATATCCTAATGTGCTACAAATACCTACAGTATATTCTTGAAAAGTCTGCTAAATGGATGTGTTTGTTTTACCATTATTATCTTTTTATTTCGTCCTCTTTTTTAATGTAATTATTACATCATATAAGCCTAACTCCTACCTTTTTAAATGGCCATGAACTAACTTTTGATTTTGTCATGTTTTGAAGTCCATTTATAATGTTATCAGGATTTTCAAATCAAAAACATCATAATTTAGATATAATTGTTGTTTTTTTTTGTTTTTTTTGCCCTCCTCATGAGAACACTGTTTGTGTGGGAGATTGTAGACTCTGGAGTAAATATGCTATGACTAGCAGTGAACATATATAAAGATGTCCCTAAGATGAAAAGGATATCTGTGTGCCCACTAATTTAAACTTGTGTACGCATGTTTCAAAGCCAATTATAGAATAATACCAAATAATAAAAACAGTGCTGCTAGATTATTGTAGGTTCTAATAAAGATAGCCCAAAATCATCTTACAGTAAATCTTACAAATGTGCTGTATTATTTGTAAACAAATCCATGATAAAATGAAGAGAACAAACGACAAAGTTGTTATTGAAGTGATCTAGAAGGATCTCTTCATTTAGTGTAAAACCGTGTTATGCGGTTTCGTAGGTCTTGATCTTCTTATGAGAAGGTGGAGTTTAACTCCATTTAAACATTTAGTTCACACAAAAGTGGAAAATCTATCAATAATTTCTCACCCTCATGTCGTTCTTAATCCCAGCGACCTTCGTTTATCTTTGTAACATAAATTAATGCCCTGATCCTCCATAGATGGTCAGAGCAATGGTTCCAAAAAAATACTATAAAACATCATAAATACAGCGCATGTGTCTTCAGTGATGCAATTCAAATATTTTAAAGCTACAAGATTACTTGTGTGCATACATAAAACAAAAGTAAAATTTAATTGAACAGTTTCTTCTCCTGAGTGTCACTTGCACATGTGCATCTGTGGTATAAATGAGAGGAATGACTGATTCTTGTGAATGTGCGCCCTATACTGACACTGAGGGAGTAAAAAGTGTTGAATGAAGTCTTTAATTTTGTGTTATGTGGACATAAATATAATTTTCATAGCTTGATAATTTTCCAACTGAACTACTGAAGGCATATGGCCAGTTTTAAGGACAATTTTTGGTACTTTTAATATTATAATTATATAGACCAGGGGTGTCGAAACTTGGTCCTGTAAGGCCGGTGTACTGCAGATTTTAGCTCCAACTTGCCTCAACACTCATGGATGTTTCTAGAAAGCTTAGTATAGCTTGCCCAGGTATGTCTAATTAAGGTTGGAACTAAACTTTGCAGGACACCGGCCCTCTAGGACTGAGTTTAGGCATGCCTGATATAGACCACAGGTGTCAAATCCAGTTCCTGGAGGGCCACAGCTCTGCACAGTTTAGCTTCTAACCCGAATTAAACACACCTGATCAAACTTATTGAGTCTTTCACACTTGTTTGAAACCTACAGGTAAGTGTGTTGAAACAGGGAAGGAACTAAACAGAGCTGCGGCCCTCCAGGAACTGGATTTGACACTTGTGATATAGACCAGTGCTCTCTATGGTGGATTAGAGAGCTTTCATATTTAATTTAAAATATCTTAATGTGTGTTCCCAAAACAAGAGAAGGCATCAGGTGTAATTAACTACATGATTTTTATTTTTTAATTGCACATATTATGGTAGACTGGGTTCAATATAAGCTTGTTTTAAGAAGAACAGGAAAGTTTTCAATTCTGAACCCTATGATTTCATTGTCCACACATCTGTTACATGTCAAAAGACCAATGAAATTTAGAGTTTTCAGTGACTCAGTGACATGACTTCTCAACTTTTATTTAATGTTTACAATGTAGATCAAGTTAGATCCACTTATTTGGTAAACAAAGCAAGTCCTTCATATGATATATCATATAAAAACATGTTCAAAATAAATCATTTGAACATTTTGATAATAGTCAATAATATTACTGAAATTAATTTAAAAAAAACGCAATTGATAGAAATTTACACACATTTACACAAGTAAATAATAGACTCAATGATGGGCTTCAAATCTGTGGATTTCTGTGCACGCAGATTCCCTGTCGGCCTAGACATGACCCTTTAAATATACAGTTAATCTTCAGCCACAGTGTTATCATTTTTATTAAATGCTAACCTAAAATACGAGGATGGGGCTGTCCCGGTAGCACAAAGTTTTTTAAGTTTCACCGCACCATGTTATGCAAGAGTTTAACCTTCATTGTTTTTAGGGAGGATATCCAGCCACATATCGAGTGGCCCAGTCGGCCTCAGCAGCTGCAACCGCCACATACAGTGATGGGTAAGAATCTATTCATCTGTCTATCTGTATGTCTATCTATTGTTTAATTTTTTTATTTCTATTATGTTAAGATATGGAAGAGTCTATGCCACAGCAACAGACCCCTACCATCACTCAGTGGGACCCACAACCACTTATGGAGTTGGAACAATGGTAATTTAATAAGAATTGCAAGCATGTAGATGTTTACGAGCAGATTATGAAGCCATCTGTCACTACTGATATGACTCATTCTGTTTGTTTACAGGCCAGTTTATACCGTGGTGGCTACAACCGCTTCACACCATACTGATCAAAACAATTCTCTGGAAGTTGACTGAGAAAAAACGAGACTTTTTAAATCACACTGTGCTGAAGATCTGTTTGAAGTTAAGACTGTAAATAATGACAATATTTATTTAGGGGGGGGGATAGAATCCAACCTGAAATTTTGAATAATTATATTTAAGGATTTTTATTTAATTCCTAATTTAAGAGCCCAACTCCTCCCTCCTAACACTTATCAGACTGTCTAGCTGAATATGATGTTGCTATCTGCAGTACATATAGTAAAATCATCACAGTGCCATGAACTGGTAAAACCTCTGGATCTGTTGCATTGTTTCGAGTGCTGATATTCAGTTGAAAGACTCTATAGAGAAACTTCCCCCAAACTGTCTCTGGTATGTATAGGGCTGTGTGTTTGCTGGAGTGCCTTTGGTTTGTTTGAGTGTGTGCATTTTATTGCTGTCACAAGCAATACTGTGAGATACAGCAATGGCACTGGGATGGGTGGTATATTTTGTCACAATGTAATCTACCTCCGAGCTAAACATCTCTTTTGTATAAGTAATGCAAGCCTGTCATTTGTTTCAAAATCTTTTTATGTATAAAAGAAATCTCCTGTGCTTTGCCTCGCTCTGATGTCCTCCTGTCATTTCCTTGTCAGGCTTTGCTGTTTAGCTTTATCTGGTCTTTTCACTGTGCTTCTCTCTGTTCATTTTTTCTGGTGTGTGTGATTCTAATGTTTTTGCGTTTAACAATATAACTTCTGGATTGCTCTTCCTGTCTTCTCTTCCTTACTCTTACTTTAATCAGTTGTCCTTTACTTCCCACTGTTTCCATTTTTGCAGTTTCTTAAAGGTCAAGTGCATTAATGCCTTATTAAGATCATTATAAAAGGAATCACAATCATTTCACCTTTATTCAAAACATCTGTTTTATTTTTTATTAAAAGAAGTTTCAAACCAACTGCACTTTGCCTTTCTTTCTTTTTCTTTCTTTCTTTCTTTCTTTCTTTCTTTCTTTCTTTCTTTCTTTCTTTCTTTCATTTCATCTGTCATTTGTGTTGTTTCCTTCTTTGCTTGATTTGTTTACTATATTTTCTCTTTAGGGAGCCGCCTCTTTTTTCTTTTTTTTTCTTTTTTCTCTTTTTCCTCTTTTTTCCTCTTCTTTTAATTTCTCTATTTTCTTTCTCAGTCTTCTTTCATTTCCCTTTCTTTCTTTCTTTCTTTCTTTCTTTCTTTCTTATTTTCTTTTTCCTTCATTTCTTTCGTGGCTTGATTTGTTTACTATAGACACTTTCTCTTTAGGGAGCTGCCTGTTTATTTCTTTCTGTCTTTTCCTTTTCTTTTCCCTCTCCTTTCATTTCCCTTTCTTTCTTTTATTTCATCCTTCCTTTGTGTTGTTTCTTTATTTGCTTGATTTGTCTGTTGTAGATATTTTCTTTAGGGAGCTGCCTGTTTTTCTTTCTTTTTTCTTTTCCCTCTCTTTACATTTGTCCTTCTTTCTTTTTTTTAAATTTTATTTCATCATTCCTTCATTTCTTTCTTTTTCCATCCTTTGGGAGCTGTATTTGTTTCTCTCTTTCTCTTTTCTTCTCCTTTTCCCTATCCTTTTCCCTAAATCTTTCTTTCTTTCTTTCTTTCTTTCTTTCTTAGTTTTTTCTATGCTTGATTTGTTTGTTATAGATATTTTCTCTTTAGGGAGCTGCCCGTTTTTTCTTTCTTTTTTCTTTTCCTTTTTTCTTTTCCCTCTCCTTTCATTTCCATTTCTTTCTTTTTCCATCCTTCCTTCCTTTGTTTCTTTATTTCTTAGCTTTATTTGTTTATTATATAGATATTTTATTCGTAAGGAGCTGCCTGTTTATCTATCTATCTATCTATCTATCTATCTATCTATCTATCTATCTATCTATCTATCTATCTATCTATCTATCTATCTATCTATCTATCTATCTATCTATCTATCTATCTATCTATCTATCTATCTATCTATCTATCTATCTATCTATCTATCTATCTATCATCTACCTACCTACATACCTAACTACTTACCTGTCTGTGTGTCGGTCTGTCTTTCTGTCTGTCTGCCTATCTATCTTTCTTTCTTTGCCTGTTTTGCTTGACATGTTTTCTTCTGCTAGATTTCTTGATGTGTCTCTTTAATAATCTTCTTTATACTAATCTTGCTTTTTTTCTGCGTCTTCTATATAGCTTTCCTTTTTAATTTCACGGCTTCTATTTCTCATCCTGCATTTTTGTTTTATTCATTGTCTATACGCTTTCCCTCATGAAATTCTTCCTGACTTTAAATATCTATATATCTGAACTCGTTTAAGTTTGACTTTCTGTCTCTGTGCCTCTAAGGCTTATTAATATTTCATAGAGCTGCTTTTCCTACTAATTTTGCTTCTTAGTTGCTTTTCAAGCTATCTCTGCTTTTTTCCCCTTTTGTATACTTTTCTTGTTTCTTACACTCTTTTTCTTTACAATTCCTTTAGGTGTTATCTTTTTCCTGTGCTTTTAACCTGTCTGATCCCATGATTTCTCTAGTATTTTATTTTTGCGTTTATTTTCTGTAGTTCACTATTTCCCTTTCTTTTTTCTTTCCTTCTTCTAGACAGCTGGCTTGTTTTTATCTCACATGCATTACAGTATCCTCATGTCATTGCTATATCACATATATCACATATATATATATATATATATATACATAAATCAACGTACTAAAGTGTAAGCTATTCTGTGACTTAATTGTACATTAAAACTGTTTTATGATGTTTAAAATTTGTGTCTGTGTGTGATATATAAAATAGCATTGAACACAATATTGGCATAATGCTAAAAGAAGTCTGTGGAAAAAAAGTTAGAAATAATGCTTCAGATATTTTAAATCTTTAATGCCACATTTATTTTGATGTAAACATATTTTATATCGTTATTAGTTTTTTCTTAATTCTTTAGTTTAATTTTCCCTTTTTGCACATCTGTCGGTTTTAATTTGCCTGTAAACCATTACAATGATGGACTTTCGGCCAAAGCTGTCAAAACCTATTCTAGACTTTGTATAAACTTTATAGTAACTGTTTTTCAATACGACTGTCAACAAAAAAGAAGAAAGCTCACGTTACAGGGTGGAGTCAATATTCAACTAGAGGCAGGTCATTTTATTTCGATGAGGCTAAATTACAGGAACAGGCAGTACTCTTAATCGTGTTCGGAAGAAATCCATATCGTTGGACAGCTACGACATTCCGCACTATGTACAAGAACTTCGCATTACTGTGTAAGTAGCTACCTTAATATGATTATGTATTTAATTCAAATTTAAATCAAACTTAATTATATTGGTAATTCGAGTGTTATTTACGCCTGCAACTTGTTTATTTTGCACCAGGTTAGATTTATCAAAGACTGAAAGTGAAAGCATGTTTGTGACGTCAACGTTATTTGTTTAAAACTTCTTTTTATTTGATTATTTTTCCAATTATACTTTAATCTTATTAAACTGACGTAAGATAACGTGCACTAACAATCAACCTTAACGTAACGTTAAGTGGTTTAGGTAACAGGAGATTGTTAACCTCTTAGCACATTTTTAGCTACAATACCCTTTTTAATTATTAAAGCCTACTTTTACAAATATATCCTACTAATATACTATTTTGTCTTATAATAGGCTATATTGCACACTTAGCATACTACTTTTTTAATTAATGCATAATGGTAGTAAACTAACGTTATTATGGGCTAATTTGCACCGCTAGATAGCAAGAACATTTGGGCCAAATGTGATAGCTGGCACATTGCTCCTCAATACATTTCGAACAGCAGGGTTAGCGCACTTGTCAGATGGTACCAAAATCCCGATTTTCACTGACGTTTTTAAAGAAATCTTGTACCTATGAAATACAATGATATAGGTCACGCCTAAACGCAATAAATTATAAATAAAACAGGAAACGTTTCTCATTTTTAGATTCTTGAAAGTTGACATTTTCCCCTTTCTAATTGTGAGTAGCATTTGTTTAAAAATTGGCTTTTGTTAAAGACTTGCTTTTGCGTATAACATAACGTTATATATGTTAATTATTCTTTGCCTATTCAACTTTTCATCGTTTTATGACTTTTTTTTTTTTGATAAAGTAAAACAATTCAGTACAATATTTAAGATAGTAAGTCTATATCATTTAGGCCTATATATTCCCAGTTTATGTAAAAAAAAAAAAAAAATTAAGCAGTTTTGTTTTTTTCTGTAAACCCAAGGCAGAGTGAATTAGGCCTACATAAATTATACTTGCTTGTTGTGTGTATTATTTTTGTATGTAATTACTTTATTATTACATCAGATTTTAACAATATTATGGTAATTCTGCTCTCATCTATTAGCCTGGTCTTAAAATGTATTCACGTGAACTACATAAATAAATAAACAAAAAAGAAATATAGTCCACTTTTGTGTAAAGGCATATTTATAAATACAGCAGCCTGCCTGACTTGGGCATAGCCTGAACGTTGGAAACCTTGGATAAACAAACAAAAAAAAAAAAAACGGTTTCACGGTATTGTGATTACTGCTCTAAAATGTATTCTCTTAAAATGTCTGGGTAAAAAAACTAAAACTTTTTTTCTTTTTGAACACAAATATATTTTATTTGGAGAAACATTTAAAATATTTTGTAGCAGCAAACATATCAGGCTAAATTTGCATTTGTTTCGAAAACAGATTTAAAAAAAAAAACAATTTTAAACGGCATCTTTTCATTTTAAGATACTGTTGTCCTAAAAACAAACAAAACAAAATGTTTTTAAAAATCGTACACATACCTTAGGAACGGTATTGCAGAAAATTTTGACGGTTTTAAAACCTTGACCTTTTTCAAAATGTGGTATACAGTACCTTGAAAACAATTATTGTCCCATTTTGGCTACTTTATCAAAGAGCCAATATATTTTTTCCTTACAAATATGCCTACATGCCTGTAAACATACAGAGCCTACATTTATACAGCTGCCTACATTTATACACCTT